TCACAATGGTATGAAACTAGAAATCAAATACAGGAAGAAAACTGGAAAAACCACTAATATGTGGATATTAAATAAAATGCTACTAAACTACTGTTGAGTCAATGGAAAAAATCAAAGGAGAAATCAAAAAATACCTGGAGACAAATGAAAATGAAAATAAAACACATCAAAATTTGCTGGATACAGCAAAAGAATTACTAGGAGGGAAGTTTATAGCGATAGAGGCCTACCACAAGAAACAAGAAAATCTCAAATAAACAATCTAACAATACACCTGAAAGAACTAGAAAAATAAGAGTAAACAAAGCCCCAAATCAGCAGGAGGAAAGAAGAATAAAAATCAGAGCAGAAATAAATAAAATGGAGATGGAAAAAAATAGAAAAACAAAACAAAATTAAGAGCTGGTTCTTTGAAAAAATAACCAAAATTCACAAATCTTTAGCTGGACTCACCAGGAAAAAAAAGAAAAGTCTCAAACAAAATCAGAAATGAAAGAGGAGAAATTACAATAGACACACAGAAATACAAAGGCTTATAGAGACTACTATGAAAAGCTGTATGCCAACAAATTGGATAATCTAGAAAAAATGGATAAATTCTTAGAATCATGCAACCTTCCAAAACTGGAACAAGAAGAAATAGAGAATCTGAATAGACTAATTACTTGTAAGGAGATCAAAACAGTAATCAAAAACCTCTCAAAAAACAAAAGTCCAGGACCTTCCTGAAGAATTCTACCAAATATTCAAAGAAGACTTAGCATCTATCCCTCTTAATCTTTTCCAAAAAATTGAAGCGGAGAGGACATTTCTTAACTCATTCTATAAAGTTGGGATGACAAAACAAGACAAGGTCAACACAAAAAAGGAAAATTACGGGACAATATCACTGATGAACAGAGGCAAAACTCCTCAACAAATACTAGCAAATCGAATCCAGCAATACATTAAAAAGATTGTACAGGGGCCGGGCTGGTGGCACAGCAGTTAAGTTCGCACGTTCTGCTTTGACAAACTGGGGTTCACAGGTTCAGATCCCTGGTGTGGACATCCACACCACTTGTCAAGCCATGCTGTGGCAGGCATCTCACATATAATCTAAAAGAAGATGGGCATGGATGTTAGCTCAGGGCCAGTCTTCCTCAGCCAAAAAAAAAAAAAAGAGGAGGATTGGCAACAGATAGCTCAGGGCTGATCTTCCTCTAAAAAAAAATAAGATTGTACATCATGATCAAGTGGGATTTATTCTAGGGATGCAGGGATGTTTCGACATCTGAAAATCAATCAACATGATACACCACACTAACAAAACGAGGAATAAAAATTACATGATCATCGCAACAGATGCAGAGAAAGCATTCAACAAATAGAGCATCCATATAAAAGCTCTGAATAAAATGGACATAGAAGGAAAGTACCTCAACATAATAAAGACCATATATGACAAACCCATAGCTATCATCATACTTAACAGTGAAAAACAGAAAGCTATCCCTCTAAAAAGAGGAACAAGACAATAATGACTGCTTTCACCACTCTTATTTAACATAGTATTGGAAGTCCTAGCCAGAGCATTCAGGCAGGAAAAGGAAATAAAAGAGATCCAAATTGGAAAGGAAGAAGTAAAACTGTCATGATGATATGATACTATATATGGAAAACCCTAAATATTCCACCAAAAACTATTAGAATTAATAATGAGTTCAGTAAAGTTACAGGATACAAAATTAATATACAGAAATTTGTTGCATTTCTATACATTAATAATGAGCAATCAGAAAGAGAAATTAAGAAAACAACCCCACTTACAATTGCAGCAAAAGAATAAAATATCTAGAAATAAACTTAACCAAGGAGGTGAAAGACCTTACTCTGAAAACTATAAGAAATTGATGAAAGAAGTTGAAGTCAACATAAATAAATGGAAAGCTCTATCATGCTCATGAATTGGAAGAATTAGTTGTTAAAATATCCTTACTATCCAAAGCAATCTACAGATTCAATGCAATCTCCATCAAAATGTCAACGATATTTTTCACTAGAACTAGAACAAAGAATCCTAAAATATATATGGGACAACAGAAGATCCCAAATAGCCAGAAGAATCCTGAGAAAAAAGAAGAAAGCTGGCGATATCACACTCCCTGATTTCAAAATATACTACGAAGCTATAGTAATCATAACAGCATGGTACTGGCACCAAAACAGACACACAGATCAATGGAACAGAATCAAGAGCAGAGAAATAAACTCAAACATATATGGGCAGCTAATTTTCGACAAGGGAACCAAGGTGTTGAGAAAACAGAACAGTCACATGCAAAAGAATGAAAGTAGACCAGTATCTTACACCATACACAAAAATTAACTCAAAACGGATAAAAAACTTGAATGTAAAACCTGAAACCATAAACTCCTAGAAGAAAACAAAGGCAGTACACTCTTCAATGCTGGTCTTAGTGGTATCTTTTTGAATACCATGTCTCACCAGGCAAGGGAAGCAAAAGAAAAAAATAAACAAGTGGGACTACATCAAACTAGAAAGCTTCTGCACAGTAAAAGAAACCATCAACAAAACGAAAAGACAACCTAACAACTGGGAGAAGATATTTGCAAATTATGTATCTAATAAGGGGTTAATATCCAAAATATACAAAGAACTCATATATCTCAACAACAAAAAAAAACGAAAAACCCAACTAAAAAAACGGGAAAAGGATCTGAACAGCCATTTTTCCAAAGAAGATATACAGATGGCTAACAGGCACATGAAAAGATGTTCAACATCACTAATTATCAGGGAATTGCAAATCAAAACTGTAATGAGATATCACCTCACACCCATCATAATGGTTATAATTAATGACAAGAAATAGCAAATGTTGGAGAGGATATGGAGAAAACAGAATCTTCATACACTGCTGGTGGAATGTAGACTAGTGCAGCCACCATGGAAAACAGTATGGAGATTCCTAAAAAAAATAAGAATAGAACTAACATATGCTGTTCCACTTCAGGGTATTTGTGCAAAGAACATGAAAACACAAATGGGTCAAGATATATGCACTCCTATGTTGATTGCAGCATTATTCACAATAGCCAAGACTTGGAAATAACTTAAGTGCCCATCAAGGGATGAATGGATAAAGAGGATGTAGTATACAGACACAATGGAATGCTACTGAGGTATAAAAAAACAAGCTGAAATCTTGCCATTTGCAACAATATGAATGGACCTTGGGGGAATTATGCTAAGTGAAATATGTCAGATGGAGAAAGTCAAATACCATATGATCTCACTTATAAGTGGAAGATAAAAACAGTAACAACAACAACAAACAAACACATAGATACATTCAATAGATTGGTGGTTATCAGAGGGGATGAGAGGAGGGAGGAGGGTAAAAGGGATAATTAGGGCACCTGTGTTTGGTGATGGATGTAATTAGTCTTCGGGGGACGAACATGATGCAGTCTATACAGAAGTGGAAATATAATGATGCATACCTGAAACTTATATAATGTTATAAACCAGTGTTACTTCAATAAAAAAAAAATTATACTCTTTACTAGAAAGACAATCCTGCTGGTGATAGGTCTTACTGTCATTGTTGAATACTAGGCATAGTATTACTTTTGTTATTGTGTGGTCTAGGTTAGTGTTTCCAAGTCCGAGTTAATAACAAGAGACCAAGTGAGCTAGGTCCAGTATTTGAAAAAGCCTAATGGAAATCTACTTAAGACTTCAAAAATATAACTAAAAAATTTTTTTGCTCAAATTGCTGTCATGTTGGGTCTATTGGTTACACATTTTGATTAAACAAAGTTAGATCCCTATCTTACATGTCACACAAAGAATTGAATTCCATGAAAACTACAAAATCAAGTTAGATCCCTATCTTACATGACACACAAAGAATTGAATTCCATGAAAACTACAAAATCTAAAGATAAAAAACAAAACTCTAGGGTCCGGCCCAATGGCGCAGAAGTTAAGTTCGCACATTCCGCTTCTCAGAAGCCCGGGGTTCGCCAGTTCAGATCCCGGATGCAGACATGGCACTGCTTGGCACACCATGTTGTGGTAGGCATCCCACATATAAAGTAGAGGAAGATGGGCATGGATGTTAGCTCAGGGCCAGTCTTCCTCAGCAAAAAGAGGAGGATTGGGGCAGATGTTAGCTCAGGGCTAATCTTCCTCAAAAAAAAAAAAAAATGTCTAATTGTAGAAAATGACATGGGGGATATATTTATAATCTTTGAGGGCAGAAAGTCTTTCTGATTAAGAAAGAAAACAAAGAATCTAAAAAAGATTAGTTCTGCCTAAGTAAAAATGTAGAACTCCTGTATGGTGAAAGACACCTTCAATGCAGTAGAAAATAGCAGCCTGAGAGAAAAGTTTTTGTAACATATATAAAAAATAAAGGGTTAATATTTGCTATGGACTGAATTATGTCCCCCCCCCCACCCCCAGCAAATTCATATTTAAGCCTCATGCCCCAATTTGAAGTATTTGGAGATGGGACCTTTGGAAAGTCATTAGGTTTAGATGAGGTCATGAGGGAGGAGTCTTCATGATGGGATTTGTGTCCTTATAAAAAGAGACCAGAGAGTTTTCTCTCTTTCCCTGTCTCTCTCTCTCTCTCTCTTTTCATCACCATGTGAGGATACAGCAAGAAAATAGCTAGGAAGAGAGCTCTCATCAGGTACCTAATTGGCTGGCACCTTGATCTGGGACTTAGTCTCCAGAAATGTGAGAAATAAATTGCTGGTGTTTAAGCCACTCAGTCTATGTCACTTTGTTATAACAGTCCAAGCTGACTAAGACAATGTCCTTAATATACACAGTCCTCCTGAAAGTCAATAGGAAAAAATTAACATGTTAAAAATGGATAAAGTTCAAGAACAGGAAATTTACAGAGGAAGTGCAAATGACTAATAAAAGTAAGAAAAGATGCTCAGCTTCATTAGCAATGGGAAATACAAGTAACAGAACAAAGTATGATTTAAATATGATTTATTTTTGCCAATCAGATGGGTGACAATAAAAAGATTGCTGTGATACACGGTAGATGATGTTAGGAACAGGCATTTTCTCTTAGACGAGAACAGGAGTACACATTGCACAATTCAGCGGTACATATCAACATAGAGAAGGAGGACGCCTTAACCAGCAATTCCACAAAACACCACGGAAAAAGTATAAGGCTGTGCATATTGGAACAGCATTATTTGAGAGAGGGAAATAGCTGGAATCAGAAACAACTCTCCTTCAACAGGAAAAGTGTTCTTTAAATTATGGCACATTTATATTATGTAGTGCTATTTGGCTATTAAACAGAATATTCTGTGCTAACATGAACTATTGAAATTAAAAAGTTGCAGAACACAACAGCATGTCTAGTACGAGCTCATTCTTTAGAACTAAAGTTACATAGGTGTGTGCTAGTGTGGGACTGCCTCATTTGACATGAGAAAGGTGTCACTTCAAGGACTAACGATTGCAAATTGTTCATTTGGGGTTTTACCAATCAGACGCTGAAAATAATTCAAATGAAATTAAATACAAAACTCTAAGATTGAGTTTATCTCCTTTTATAAGTGGAAATTTAAAGTACACTTCAAATCCAAACTATAATTCCTTTAGATTTCAATAATTCTGCCTCTACTTTGCTATGAGTAAGATAAATACATATTGGTATTTTCATTATTCTTTCATAAGCTATCTAGATTAACTAAAAATATACTTTAGCAAATATGAGATTTTTGAGGCATAAAACCTTCTAATTACTTTCTCATAATTATATATCATATTGCTTTCAGTTGATATTTTTGCAGGGCAGAAAGACAGCCCTGTCGGAAATTCTTTGCAATAACTCCTTATAGTAGATTTGAACAAAACACTTGGTAGATATGAACTTGCATCTCAACATTATTATGATTTAACTTTATCCAGGTTTCTGATTTACTTCACATACTGTCATGTTTGGGTTCAAAATGAAGGAACTGTTCTCACTTGGAGAAAAAGAAAAGAAATGTAGTTTAATCTCACTCTGGTGCTATTATACTATTTCAGGTTTTCTGCCAGTTTGATGGAATTCAATGGGACAGGCTACATCCAGGTGAACATATTCTAAAGGAAGGAGACTGAAAGTGTAAAAGCAAAAATACATTTCAAACACCCTCATTTATCAGAAAAGCAACTGTTTCAGACAATGCCGCAACTGGCGATGCGTGGGCATGGTACAGAGAGGTCTCGTTTCCTGCATTTTTAGGAACCAAGTTTTTCACTTTGTATTTTATAGTGTTTTTGTCATCTAAAATTCCTATCAACTGCAAAACGCATGTGGCATACATGTGACATTCATTCTACCTTATCTTTATAGATTACAAGATAGAGGAATGAGTCCTAAATGTTTTCATCCCATGATGTTCCTAGATAATGTCTTTTAAGCATGGTTCCAGGCGGAAGGCTATTAGGAAGGGAAGCATGAGGAAAAAATTCACTAACATGGAAATTATTAGTGCTGCCCACCAATTATTTTCAATTCTCCTCCTGTGCATATCCTAGTATTCTCTTACCTGCCCCCTTAAAGTTAGTAGGGCCATATCACTTGCTTTGGCCAGAGATGTGTGAGCAAAAGTAATATGTATTACCTCCAGGTGGAAGCCCTAACAGCCAGCACATGGTTCACCCTGCTGTGTTTTTCCCTGTAGGATGGCAAACAAGCAACAGAGAAGATGGCGGCTGCTTTGTCACCTGAGGTCTCTGAGTGATTGCAATGAGCGGAGCTCCTTTCTGAGTGGACAAGAGGCCCAGGTGAAATCCAAACCTTTGTGGGTTTACAGCACTGAAATTTGGGGGTTGTTTGTTCTCACAGACATACCTCAGCTATCCTGACCGACACACCTAGCCCACTCTGTTTGGGAAATGATCAGATTCCCATCAGAACTATGATCTGCCTAGGTAAGGTGAGGCACAGGACAAAGAAAGAAAGCAGATGTCACAGAAGTGTGAGCAGAAAAGGGAGAGCAACAGGGAATAAGGGAAAACAAGTTGAAACTGTTCCCATCTTGGGTTCAAGAGTTCCAAGTTTTATATGATGACCTGCCTGAAAAATGACCACTCTTGATAAACACTAGTCCAAGTTTATTACAAAATCATTTGTTTGAAGTTTTAAACTAGTCCAAGCACTAAAATTACATTAGTTGCATATTGATGCAAGCAACAAAATATACATATCACAATTTAATCTCTTATACAATTCGACAAGGATGAAGAGCACAAAATACACTTATTCACATAACACATTTCACCTATTGTTAAAATGTGTCAGTAACAGGCTGAAGTCCAACACTATTCACCAGGTGGTAAAATACTCTGACACCCAGACGAAGTAAGAAAGTGGACATTCCCATCCTTTCCATTGTGACCTTAAACAGTTCATTAGTTTGGAGCAAGGATGGTACTAGCTAGATGAAGATAGCTAGCAACAAGTTCCATAAAAAGTTCACTGTACGTGATTAACAAATGCTTTTATTGGGATTTCAAAACTCAGATTAGACCCAAAACTAAAGCAGATTTTTCTTCTTAAGTCCGAAAATGAGTAAACAGAGCCACTTGTTAGATAAGACAGATATATCTGTTTGCCTGTGCGTCTGTCTGTTAACTTTTAAGTATTTTCCACTTCAGCAATACAGATAATTAGAAGCAAACTTCTGCCTTTAGAAAAAAAATTAAAAGAGTCTGTTTCTACCACCTAGTTAAATCCATCAGTAAAAAGTCATGTTTTGGGATGCATCCACAGCTAATCATGAGTCAGCACTATCCGTCTTTGTACGCGTAATCATAAACACCCATGTGCTGTTGGGTTGGCTTTTTTTCCAGTCTCATTTTTTTAACAATTCACCAACATGAGAAAAAGCCTGGCATTTTCAAGTCATTTGCCCAGAATAACATATTTCCTGAGAAATAATATGATCAAATAGTATGTGAAGTTGCTTAGACACTTTACCCAATGAGAAGAGAAACTCAGTTACTCTGATGGTCTAATTATGAATTTTAAAATAGACTTTAAAACTTAAAAATTGGTAAACTTGTTGAACACTATTTGTACCACTTATTTCCAGTAATCTGGACAAACACACTTTCGTTTTGAACATTTATATGAAAGTTATTGGTGGATGCTCCACTCTATTATTCTTTATACAATAAATTGCCCAACTACACTGAAATATGTATAATAACAGAAATAAAATTCTGAAGTCAGATATGCATATCGTTGTGTTCACTTTATTTTTTTTTCGTTGGGTGAAAAGTCTAAAACAATGTAAATTGATATTCTTTTACTAAATTTCTTTTCAATTTTTAGTGCCTACTTGTTGGGGAGACATCATCATAAAACCATTTAGTTGCCCCAAACCTATGCCCAGATAATACAGATCATCCTTCCAGGATACTCACAGAGTGACCCCCCTGTTACTCTCCAAACACTGCATACTCATGCACTCCCGTACATGATCATGTCACAATATCTCCTCAAGATACACACGGCCAGGGTGACATTATGACAAAGAAGCAACAATTCTGCCATTCAGTTAGAAGCTTCAAGGAGAAGAGGCTTGGAACTCTAGATGAGAGTTTCTCCTCTGTGCTTCTCCCAGGTCACAATACAAAGATGTGATCGCTGGAGCATCCTACCTAGCATGAGGAAGGATGGAGCTTTGGTTCTTTGTGCCTCAGTTTACAGGACATCAACACTCTTAAGTAGCTGTGAGAAACAGACATGTCCTCTAAACCATCTAAAAGTTCTTCTGGGCTTTAAGGCTCTTGAAACACTGACAACATTTATGAAATGTAACAGCAATCACAAATTGTAATGGCCCTTTTTTTTAAGCATATACACTGGATTTATACACACACACATATATGTGCATATATGTGTATACTTATAAACATATACGTCACAATAAACAACATGTAATTGTCAGTTTAAATTAAAATGCACAAAAACTTTACAATTCCATGCTCATTTTGCACCAAGAAATCTTAGTCTGTAATTTAGTTTGGCAAGTATTTTTCGAGCGTCTACTATGGGCTCTATATTTGAGAATAACCTAAAATTGTGTGATTAATCATTTATTGGTCCTAAATTAGGAATATCATGAGCCAGCGTGTGTACATGTGTTTTCCTTCTTTAAATTCACTGGAAAAATGGCTGCCTTTAAATCTTCAATGAGGCTATTTGCTTAATTTATTTTAATTTATTCATGAGAATTTACCAACATTCACAAAAGTTAACAATGACTTCCAATGTAAATTACCAGTCTAAAGCAAACATTTGTGAACATAATAATTTAAGTCTAGTTGAACTGTACAGCTTTCCTGGAGAATCTGAAATCAGTCTCTCAGGGAAGACTAATTTTAAAATGGACCCCAGTTTTTGAAGGCAATGAACTCTTTTAAAGACATGCATTTCCCTATAACTACCTGCCCTATGTTCTGATGGACCAGGACACTTTGGATGATTACAAAATTCTTTGGGTTGAATTATACAAACAAGCAAAGTCTAAAGTATTATTGGGAAATATTAGGAGAGATGATTATCTCTTGGTTAACCATTATAATGATCTCCCAGTGCCTGGCTAATTGCCAATCATCCCATTGACACTGGTAGCACAGGCTTTAGAAGATGCCATTTTACAGATTTAATGAGCCCACTATCAACAGAAATTTTTAATCCCTTTTGTAGTGTGTATATATGTGTGTGGGGGGGGTGTATATGTGTGGGTCTTTGTGTGTGTGTGTAAATGGAAAGCAAAAACACACCAGCTACAGATAGTCTTTGACTATTATATACAGATTGTGTTTCTTTTCTTCTTTGACACGGAAATGACGGCTCAAAGTAAAATACCTTTGGCCATGCTCTTGACGCCCACCACTGGGGTCAAGTCCTGTTTGTTTGCATTGTCCATGGCAGAGCTTCTTGGGAACTGCCAGTCGTCTCTACATGTGGTAAGATAGAGCCTTTGCTTCTCTAAAAATTACTTATTGTGCATAATGCACTAGAATTTTCAGAGCAAAAGAGGATTACTTGAAAACTGTGCAAATCATGACTGACCAAATAAACCCTTCAAACAAAAATTGACCTTCATAATAGTAAATATAAGCAACCATATTTGTCAAATATGACAAGAACGGGCTCATTCTAAACAGGCTCGTAAAATCAGGCAAGCCAACAGTCAGACCCGCGGTATGCAGAGGTCATTATAACAAGCCACAGTGAATCCTATGGGGCATGACCACATGCATATTGATTGAGGCTACATGATGAGGGGTAAAATAGGCCAGATCAAAAGACGAGGGCACTCCATTTCATTGAGCCTAGTCTATACAGAGCAGCTGCAGAGCAATGACCCCCAAATAGCCATTTCACTGTGCAGGTAGCATTAAGATGAACTTTGGCAAATAGGCCAAGTAAATGCTTTAGGCTTCAACAGAGTCTGTCCTGAAAGCATGACTAACACAGATAAGCCCCAAATTGCTTTCACTTTGACTTCCATGGGGCACTATTTCATTGTGATTACATCCAGTTGACAAAAGCAAGTGAAAATGTGCAATTAAACAGTAAATTTAACAAATTTCAAAAGCCAACTCTAACAAAATTGCCCCCATACTACCTGCTGAGGTCTGAATTTTCCAGTTAGGCTTTACATATGTATTTAATTAACTGACATATTGCCAAAACTTTTTAAATTTTCTCCTAGACCTACAATGACTTACTGCCCTATTAAACTGGGTGCTTGCTGATTTATTTTCTCTGCGACTGGTGACTCAGAAATAGCAGCAACCTTTAAGGAATTTTTAATGGAGCTCAGCTCCCAAACATGCAAGCTGATGACATGCACTCCACAACAGCGTCTGGCAAGCTTGTAGAGATTCTTAAGGACAGCCTTCCGTAGAAGAATATACACCCAGGGATCTAAGATTTGATTCCATGTTGCCATTCGGAGAGCAAACAGCGTTGTTTCACAGGTCTCCAGAGAATGATTTCCATTTATTCCAATGTTGGCCATTGTCACCTGCAAAACAAACAAAATAGGAAAATCAATTGATAGCCATTTTCGCAGTTACCTATAGTTGTTTTACTTAACCAACTATGCTACATGATATTCCTTTCCATTTTCACAAAATGACATTATTTTGCAAAATACTGACAAAAACAAATGAACAATAGCAGAAACATTGATGCAGACATATGAATCCTCTGAATTCAAACTGACATCAAAACTACAAAAATGATAACTTTTATGGTAAGTCAAACGTGCACAAGTAGAATGACCCAAGAGAAGACAAATTGATATTAATAACTGACCTTTTCTTACTTTTGGGAATAGTAAATTCAAAGCCAACACACATTTGTATATTTCAATGAAAAAACTAAAGTTCATTTATGCAAATAAATTATAGATAAGTTAAAGTATAGATAAACAGTTTTTAAAAACGAATTTAGAGTATCTGATATTAATTCACACAAGGTATATGATATTGTTCTGAAATGTGACTTTTAGAATTTTCTGCTTAGTAACTACAATGATACAAATGTCTTCTATTTCGTATTCTGTTTTCTGCATTTCTCACTCTAGCCTTAACTTGGCTAAAATATTCCAAAAAGCAATGAAATTTTCTAAGGACTTTGAGAAAATGAGTCCTCTTCTACACTACCACTAAGACTTAACAAGAACAATGTAGACTTCGGTCTCATGCGTCCATTTCCTGACCACCCAGGATGTTAAAGAGATCATCTTGTGGAATAAATTCCATAAATGGTCCCAGCTACATATTAGAACTGGTCTAATCACTGAGCCTGGCTTTGACTTCCAAATAAACAGCTGCAGGAGAGAGAAATGAAGACAGGATGAAAACACCCTGCATATAAAAACAATAAGAAATAAATGAACAAAAGGTGAAACTAAAAAATGAAGGGAGGCTTGGATCATTACGCCACCAGGATTACAAGAAGATAGAACAAAGCCTAAACCCAAATGGAAAGAAAAATAAGTCTTCGTGGTCTTCTTATTGGACTGTTATCAGAAGAAATGTTTCCAATTGGCCTGATGATACTAATGGTTGAAGGATAAATGTCCCTCATAAAAACCCTCATTACCTACACAACAAAGTACAAACCCCTTAGCTGGTTCCTTGATGATGCGTCTGAAGTCCATCTCTACAATTTCATCTCCCCTGTAAATACCCCATGTTCCAAGCGCTGTGAAGGCCTCACCTGCCCGGATGCACCATGCCCTTCTGAGCTTTGGCTTATATGACTCTCTGTGTCTTGAACCCCTGTTCCCCCTTTCTCAGCCTGACAAACTCCTTTCCATCTCTCAAACTCCGTGCTAAAATGGGCTCTCCTCCATGAAACTTTCCCTGACTTCACGGAGAGAAATTAGCAAGTTGCTCCCTCTTCTGTGCTCCCACAGCCCTCTGTCCAGACCCAGTTATATCACTTACCACACTGAATGATAATTATGCATTTATCTGCATATCTATGAGCATCTCTTCTTTTTCTCTTATTTCTAATTCTCAGTACAAAGCTGACACCTAGGATGTATTCAGTAAGTGTCGGAATGAATAAAATTGTATTATTTTTCATTCATTGAGGCTATTTCCACGAGCACAGCAACTAGCCATCAGAGAAACTTCTGGCCATCCATCACAATGGTCCAATATCTTGAGGCTTAAAATGTTTCTAAAAGTTTTAATACAACAGCATCCACTAGTGAAGGATTCCAAGGTGGTTTGTTGCCACTAAAAGGATCAGGATCTTGCAGTCCACACAGATCCCTTGGGAAATGGTTCTTTCCCTTGGGTTCATTTCCTGGGGGAATAATGTATCAAACTGCAGGCCTAAAGATTCTGTAGCTGCATAAGGCTGACCAAGTCTCAGCCCAGAAAAAATTACAGTCCCCATACAATAGTACCTGTGTCAGATACAGACTCTTCTATCACTGCTCCCCAGGCCACCCAAAAGGATGGAAGAAGTAAAGCTCCACGGCCCCAGCTCCGCTTAGAACAAAGCAGGACCAAGACCCAATTGGTAGTTGGATTGAGATATTTTCACTTTATGTTTTCTTTACTCATCAAATATTTATTGATTATCTGCTCTGTGCCAGGCAATGTGCTAGGCACTGAGGACGCAACGGCACACAAAGCAGACACTGTGCCTGCCCTCATGGAGCTTACAATCTATTTGCTGGGTTGTGGGTGGGGTCGGGGGTGGGTTCAAGAAAGAATGAACAAATATTTCTCTTGCCTCACAAATGTTAAATGAATGCATTTCCTATTAAAGACAAGCCATTTTCCTTGGGATCTCAGAGCCCAGCCAAGACACTGGTCTGTGTAGTTGGGAACAAAGCTGCTCAGTGTAATTGCATGAAACAGCTGGGCCTGGTTTAGCGATGTGCAAATTAAAAACGCCTACGTCACATGTCACGCACATCTCTAACTCTCTCTCCTGCAAACAGCAATGTGGTCACCAGGGTTGAAAAGACATTGAGTCCTCTGCTGAGGGAAGCCAGGGCCAGGCTTCTCTCCAGAACACCAGGGCAGTGCCCAGGCAGTCACTCTCACTCTCTCTCCCTCCTTTGACCTCCAGCCCAGCTTGGAAGAGAGGTTGCTCTAGAGCCTGGCTTGGGAGAAGCACCACTTAGCCACCAACAAAGATGTAGGTGGAGTATTTATGTAAAAGATCATTAGCATATTATTGATAGATAATAGTATATTATTGAAAATTTAGGACAACCTAAGTATCCAACAAAAGATAAATTATGGTAATTTCATGTAATGGAAAAATATGCAAGCATTAAAGTTTGTGATTCACCGAAGCAGAGCGCACAAACCACTAGGCAACAGGGCCGGCCCCTCAGTGTTAATTTTTTAAAAAGCAAGTTACCAACTGCATTGACTGTGTGATCCCAATTTTGAAAGAAACCAAATATGTAATTTTGTGCATGCATAGAAGAAAGACTGGGATATGCATCAACATTTTCATTGGTTAACTCCAGACAGGAGAACTACAGGATTTTGATTTTCTCCTTTGGCTTGTCTCTAATTTACTAATTTTTTAGATAGATCATGCATTGCTTTTATAATTTGTACTTTTTCCCCAAGTAATTTGTCAAAATATACTATTGTACTAAAGAATCAGAACTAATCTGGATTATTTCTGCATTTCTATTTATATGAGTGAGGAGCCACAGAATTGTTTGAAAAATTTAAGCCCTGAGAAGACTGGCAGAAGTGTGGGAGCTGAAGTAAGAACGAGGCTCGTCTGCCATTTTCCCTGGGCTCTGTCAACAGTCACCTTACAAGCCTTCAGAGCATTCTTCTCCAGCCAGCCCACTCAAACTTGAATTCCAGAGAGTCATGTACAGACACAGTCTTTCATCTAGTTTCCAAGAGGTACCCAACACACGGAACTATTACGAGTTATTTTCTAAAATATCTTCCTTTGGACCTTGTTATGTTACAGTTGTTCGCCTTTGACAATGACAAGAATGAGAAGTGGACAGGGCCAAGTGTTTGGATATTCTATGAAAAAATCGGTTAATTAACGTCATACCTCTGAACACTCAACACTAACATGTGAAAGAAAAAGTGAGGTCAAAGAAGTATATGAAAAGGAGAGTTTATGTTCATTGCCAGGTTGCAAAGAACAAAATAAATAGATGATACAATAAAATCTCCATTCATTTAGGTCACATGAGACAATTATATCAGCTGTTAAGGTCACCAAAATTAATGAATCTGCCAGGCTACTTTACTCATAGATAACAGAGCTCGTGTTCGCTAAAGTTTCATTCTGGAAGTTACTCCATTATCCCCTACCCTAAATCGGCATATCTGTTGGCCAATGTCAGGACTTCAGTGGCTGTTCACAAGTAAATGCAATGGTAAATTCAAGAATTGTGCTTCTGTTCCTTTGAGTAATCATAAATCAATCCAGCAGTTAGCAGTTTTCGAGTGTCCACTATGTCCAGGCATTGTCCTAGATGCAAGTGATGTAGAGATGAAAATGTAGAGAAATCCTATCTAACATATGATATATTTTGCTTATATACCTAGTTTTTATTTCTGTCTTTGACACTAAAATATAATCTCCAAAGTACATGTTTTTGTCTGATTGGTTCTCTGCTGTTTCCCCGGCACCTGGCATACAGGAGGACAGTCAATATTTGTTGAATGAGTTGAATAAATGAAGTCCCTATGAGGACAGACTGACAAGAGAGAGCAAACAGTTATAATGTTGCAGGTAATATAATAGGGACATGTAAAAGGCGCCAGAGGCAGGGCTATTTACTAGTCCATGATCACAGATGTGGTCATTAAAAATGACAAGTTTTTGCAATTTTTCTAGGACATCAAAACTTCAGTTATTCAAATTTGACTAATTTTGAATTCATGGTGATTCCGCTGCAGTTAGTCTGAAGTTCTCCTTGGCAGCATTTTTTTAAGGAAATTTTCATGAATACATCATCAAAATCATTTCTGGTAGACTGTCCAACTTCTTTAGATACCAACTCATTTTCTGGAATTTAATCAACATCTATTTTCATATAAAAATATTTATGACAATTATCCATGGTTCTCATTTAGTCACTGAAGCAGGTATTTTCATACATAGTTATCTTATTTCAAGAAGCAGACCACTCCTTTCCTCCTCTCTGTCATCATAGAAGACTAGTTCAGGGACACTTTCTTTGGGGAATGAAAGCATACACAGAAGTACAATTCATTAATTTGCAAATTATTATCCTTCATAATATTGTCATACAAACTCTCATCTTTAGGTTTGGCACTTGAATAACCACCGAGATAGGACGCTAACTGTCATTATGCGATTACAATCCAGACTTACCTGATGATGAAAAAGGTCCATTTGGAAGCTTTACCAACAGACCATTTCATTACCTCTCCATGTTTGAGCAGTTTAATCTCTGTGTTAATTTAGATGACTAGCAAGCAATGACTAAACAACTATGTATAGATGATTGATTTTTAAATGTCACAGCCTCTATGA